CTCTTCAGACATTGAGGTAGGAGAACCCCCTTTAGGACTCTATCGTGGCTTCGGGATGCTTTAGGAAGGGTCACCAAAATTCCTTCCCTCCCCCACCGCAGGAGGCCAGCAACCTCAGCCCCCCGTCAGTTTGATTAATGTGTCTTGGCTAATTGTGTGAAAGATAGCAAGTGTGACCACTTTATTGTTCAGCCCAATCACAGGCACCTCAGTTTGCATGTGAAAAGGGGGTGCCTTGCAGGAGGAGGCGGGTGAGTTCTGGCGGCTGAGTCAAAGGCTGAGAGTTTGGGGGGGGCACGGAGCAACACCCACTCCTTTGAGGGGAAGTTACTATGCTCTACTAACCCTGCAAACCATAGTGAAAGACCTTTTTCTCCTTCCCCTTTTCCCCGAGATCTTTTTTCCCATGGTACAAGCAGGCGAGATGCTGGCTACTCTGCAGATGGGGTTCACGTTCCAGGGTTTTTAATATTTCACTTTTATATTTCTGTTAGAGGGTGATCCCGCTGAGAGTCTGGGAATCCAGGCTCGTCAGAACCCCCTCACTGACACTTGGATATACGGCTCTGAAAGCCATCCCAGGAGGAAAGATTAAACAAAAAAAAAGGGGGCCTATTTTTCAAAGCCTACTCCTCAATCTGCCCACATCAAAATAAGACAACTGGCCCTTTGAAGTGGAGAGTTCTCAGCCCAGCTTGCTCAAAGTGGGGAGTGAGGAAGGACAGGAAGGAGGAAGGAAGGAGCAAAGGAGGCAGCCTCGAACATGATACACCCCTCTCACCTTCCAGATTTAATCAGGTACAAGCGGCTACAACCCGCCACAGCCTAAAGCCCCCGCTCCTCAGAACTGGGAGGAAGCTGGTTCTCACTGGAGTCAGCACTGGGTGATTTTTAACACTCCCATCAGAATCAGTATGGGGGTTGGGGATTTAGCTCAGTGGTAGAGCGCTTGCCTAGCAAGCACAAGGCCCTGGGTTCGATCCTCAGCTCCAAAAAAAAAAAAAAAAAAAAGAATCAGAATTCAGACAAGAATCCCAAACAGAATCCAGTAATGGTGGCAGCAAGTGGGTGGAGAGTGGACTGTTTATGCAAGTTCAGAGTTGCCAAGTACCTTTAATTGTGCAGGGTAAAGAGTATATTAGGAATTTAACTCAGCAGTACACGGTTTTCTAAATGGGCAAATGACTGGAATGAATATTTCTAAAAAAAAAAAAAAAAGGCATGTGAACAGCCAAGGAAAACATTCATCAGTAATCCTCAGAGAAATGAGCATCAAAACCAAGAGTTTGCATCCAATGTCAGTTTAGAACAGACGCTATCGACAAGATGAAAAGCAAGCTGGGCATGGTGACATATGCCAGTCGGGAGGCAGAGGCAGAGGGGTCACTGTGAGTATGGGGCCACTGTAGGCTATGGAGGGAATTCCAGATCAGCCAGCTCTATAACAAGACCCTGTCCTCAAAAACTAAAAAAGCAACCCCCATACACAAACAATGATGATGATGGTGATGGTGGTGGTGGTGATGGTGGTGGTGATGATGGTGGTGATGGTGATGGTGGTGGTGGTGGTGATGGTGGAGGTGGTGGTGGTGATGATGATGGTGATGGTGGTGGTGGTGGTGATGGTGATGGTGGTGGTGGTGGTGGTGGTGATGATGATGGTGATGGTGGTGGTGATGGTGGTGGTGGTGGTGGTGGTGGTGGTGGTGGTGGTGGTGGTGGTGATGATGATGGTGATGGTGGTGGTGGTGGTGAGGATGATGATGGTGGTGGTGGTGGTGATGGTGATGGTGGTGGTGGTGGTGGTGGTGGTGGTGGTGGTGGTGGTGATGGTGGTGGTGGTGGTGATGGTGGTGATGGTGGTGGTAGTGGTGATGATGATGGTGGTGGTGGTGGTGGTGAGGTAAAAAGAGAAACTCTCATTCTTCTCACCATCGGTAGGCATGTAAATGAGTACAGCCATTATAGAAAACAGCTCAGACGTTTCTTTAACAGAAAACCTGGAATAAAAACCCCTGTGATCCCGCAATCTCACCACTGGCTGTCTCTCCAAAGGAACTGAAGCCAGTGTTACACTTGATGTTCACTGCAGCACTATTTACACTAGCCAAGGTGTAGACCAAGGTAGGCAGCAACTGAAATAAACACGGTGTTGTACGCACGTAACAGAGTACTATGTGTCCATGAAAAACAACAGGATTCTGTCCTTTCTAGTAACATGGGTGACATTAGAGGACACTATGTTCATTGAGCAAGTTGACAGGAAGACAAATCTCCTATTTTCTCACTTCTATGCAAAAGTTGATTTCATAGGAAGGAGAGAGGAAGGCTGCAGATAACCAGAGCCTAGGAAGCGGGCAGGGCAGGGGAGGGTGGAAAAGGGGTGACTAATAGGAACAGGGGTGCAGTTGGATAGAAGGTGACTCATGATGTTCTGGCACCCACCTCCTCCTGCAGCAGCAGGTCAGGAATGGGGGTAGATGGGCATGCCTCAAGAGACACCTGCTTATTCATAAGACTTGCTCCTGGGACAGGAATCTCGATGATCTCTTTAAAACATGGTCCTTTTTGATTGAGTTATTAATATAGTACTAACCCCATGCCCAAGATACTCTGAACTCTTAAGATTTGCAAAGGCCGAGCTGGAAATTCTGGCTGTGGTTAAGGGTACAACTCCTTTCCCTATGCTCAGCCTGACCCACGACCACAGGCTTCCCAAAGCCATAGAAGCCCCCCCCCCCCCCCCCCCCCCCCCCCCCCCCCCCCCCCCCCCCCGCCATCATAAGCGCTGCAGTACCAGTGAGAACCAGGGAATGAATCCAAACCCACGCTCTGGAGACTCAAGAACCCACCACATCCATCCAGGGACTGCAGTGCCTTGCGCGAGTCTAGCGGATTGCAAGCTCTCTAAACAGTTTTACTTTGAATTAGACCAAGGTAGACAATAACGCAAAAGTGTAAGCCCTGTTGATATTGGGACTAGAGAATTTTCTTTGTAAATAAAATTTCGAATTACTTTGACACGAGGGCGAAATGAACAATGTGATGTATTTCTCTCTGTTTTCTTGGAGCCCAGGTATCTTCTTAGCATGGAATCTGGCAGGGAAGAGTTTGGCCATGTTCCTAGCTTTGATGATCATCTGTCATAGGGGTATCTCACTATTGTCTGGGCCAACCTGAAACCCGAGTATTTGAAGTTTGGGGTGGCTGCCTATGTTCACCACAACAGCTTTGAATGCATATGTCCCTAAAGGCCTCTGATTCTAAACTTCTGCCTGTGTCTATAGCAGAGAGCAGAGGGAGGTATGTCGGCCGTTTTCACCCAGGCAGAGAGAAGTGGGTGGGAAATGAGGAGGACTAGATTCTCCTGGAAACCATGGCAACCAAAGCCAGGCGCTAATGCAGACTGAACCATGATCTCCATAAACGGCCTTTTCTTTCTTATCTCACACCAAAGGGGAAGGCACTATCCTGCACCTCAAGACCAGAGCGTCAAACTCTTGAAAAATAGTTAGAAGTAGTTAAGCAGTTCTAAATGACTCTAAGGCCAATAAGTAAGGAATATGATCGTTTCCCTAAGAGGTTGAAAGGACTTTACAGTTAGTCTTTAGCTCTCCATGGAGTTTCGTTAACTCTGATTAGTTCAAAAGGACTGATGGCTTTGCATAGCTTTTTGAGTAAAAGTAATAGATGCAGATAAAAAGGGAGAAAGCCTCCTTCTCATGTCCTGTCTATTCCCCTTCCTCCTGGTTTTTTGTTTCCCTCTCTCTCTCTTACACACACTTACACACACTCACACACACACACACACACACACACACACACACACACACACACACACACACAGAGTTGGCCTTTTAGACTTAAGTTTCTCATGCGTTAGCTTCCCAAGTGCTGGGATTATGGGCTGATACCGCCACACCACCCTGATTTTTGTTTTCTTCCTTAATCGCTTTGAAGTCTTCCTGCAATTTCTTGCTCGCATGAAACTCTTCCAGGAAAACTTTACACCAAAGTCTATAGTGACAATTTGGGAAATCTGGGGTTTATTAATGGAACAATGTAAGAAAGTCAAGACTGGATCATCTAGCTTGGAATACTTGCATCCAACTCATGTCCTTATCTGTTCCCATGCTCCTCCCCCTTAACCCTGTCGGGGAGAGGTTAGCATCCTCATAGCCTTGGTTTGTGTCTCTGGCTTCCAGGGCATCTGAGGCAGGCCCATCTTCATCCTCTGGCTCATTGGATGCATCCTCACTTCTGTCTCAATGCCCTGAAGTGACTTCTTGGTTAGCTGACCACTTCTCAAAGAATCTCCCGGTGGACAATACTTCCAACGCTTCCTTACCCATCCCCAGCAGCTACTCCGGAAGGACGGTGAGTGACAGGAATGACCAGCTGTCAGGCAGAGAGACAGTTCTCTCGAGGCATCTTACCTGGCTTATCCTAGGTCTAGCATGCCTCTGGCTCCCTCTGTTGCTCTAGCTTTCCTGTTACACAAGGCTCAACCATGGAGCAAATAAACTCAGTGGTAGTCATGGGCTGGCTCCACAGTGAGAACAGTTCCTTGCTCATACAATTCAAAGCATGCTGTTCCTTTGAGCCGTGGTGTACTTGGAAATGGATGTAGACAGCCCTGGTAGCAGTCCTTTCTAGTTATTTTTCACCTTGCTACCTGGGTTTTAGATCACTGGAGAACAGATTTAACCTCAGTCAGTATTTCACTCTCTTTTTAATAAAAGGATTAAGCTGGGCATGGTGGTACAAGCCTGAAATCTCAGCCCATGGGAGGTAGAGGCTACAAACAAGTTCCAAGACAACTAGGGCTCTACAGTGAGGCCCTGTTCTAAACAAATAAATAGACAAAAGAATTCGTTGGAAAATATATAAATCTGCTAGTCTGTCTTTGTTGTGTCTAATGCCAGATGGACACCCTGCGTGGCCACACTCTCCCAGAATTGCCAGTTCTCGGAACGTTTAGACTCTTAGCTCAGTATTACCTGGATTGTAGTTAGGCAGCTTGGAGACTCCAGGCCAGGTATCCTCTGTAGGGACTCCCAGTACCTACACAGAGAAAGAGAAAAGAAGTGAGAAGAAACCAGCTGGACAGAGAAGACACAGACGCAAAGGTCAGAGCAGAGAGGGACAAAGAAGTCAGTGATGTCACATGGAGCCAGCTGATGTCCGGGAGAAAGAATTGTCGGTAGTTCCAATGTTTTTTAGCTTATTATGCACAGCACCCGTACCCCCACAGTCCTGAGAGTGTGTCTCCACTAACTCACTCTGCATGATTCCCAAGTGTTAAGGATATGAAGCAGCTGGAGTGACTGTCCATCAACCCCCATCAACCCCCATCAACCCCCATCACCCCCCCATCACCTCCCATCACTTCCCATCTTGGTCCTATAAGCTGATCGGCAGGAGATGCTGCTGGCCTGGATCATGCCTCAGCATAGGTTTTTCAGCTGTTTCTGGATGTGCTCAAATTAAAAAGGATTCAAATGACTAACCTTTAGGCGGTAGAATATTGGCTAAAAAGGACCCGGCTCCAACCTTGCCTTTTCTACTAAATTCATCTCATTTTTTTGTTTTCTCCATGTCCGGCAGCTAGGACTATAACTTGGTTTTCCACTGGTGGATTATACTGGTAACATCATATGAAAGAGAGCTGGCTTGTGCTTTTAAAAAAATTGTGTGTACATATGTGTGTCAAGACGTGTGTAGGGAAGGTGGAGAGCAGATCTGTGGAGCTGGCTCTCCTTTCCTTGTTATGTGGGTTCTGGGCATCAAATTCAGGTCTCCAGGCTTGTGGAGCAAGTCTTTATCCACTAAACCATCTTGCCTGTCCTGACCTATGCTTTAGGTGGCCAAATTTAAGTTCTTGTTTTTAAAGAAGATGAAGTTTTGACAATGAAGGTCTTCTGGAGTGTGAAGTCAAATGGACTTTGGATGGAGCTGTTACTGCAGCCCTCTGTAGACACCATCTTGCCATTCTTTGAAGATGACCATAAACCCCACAGCCAGCGTGTGTGGGGGTCTGAGGAGCATGGCTTTTGTGTCCTGCTGCTGATGTCAGCAGTTTGCTTTATCACTTCAGCGTACCTCTTCTTTGTAGCATATCTTAATATCATGTTTCTGTGGAACACGGACTATAGACACGGGCCCAGTTTATGACAGGAAGCTAATTGTCTGACTGAATGTAATTAATGAGGAATGCAGGACCTTCAATATATTGGTGGTGACGAGGTCCCTGGTGGAGAGGCATGCGTGTGGGGTCTGTTGGGCTTGCCTTCACACAAAAGACACTAACATGCTATTTTCCCTCACGTAGTACATTCTGAAAAGTCATGCCACCCAGTAAAAGCTTCCAACTTTGATCCCATTCTCTAAACAAACTGAAAAGTGACTGAGAGGATTAGAGGCTTTTCCTATCAACCAACCCAAGCCTGAGGGAACACTGAGGAGCCTGGATTCCATTTTGAAAAAACCAACTAGACTAATTCTTCTTTTGTGGGTGAAGCCCAGAGCAGGGGGAGCTCATTATTCTCCCTCAGCCTACTGTCTTCTGTATTTGTCCAGATGCATGTGGAGACAAGCGGGTGTGACTCATGGGTCCCCATTCATCTTCTGTTGGTTGGCAAAGCACAGTGGGAAGAAAACAAGGTCGATCGGGGAGGAGGAAACGATCCAGGAAATGAATAGCAACCACATCCATATTTGCTGGAAGGTGAAAGTTACCAGACTTCTTGGTTCCTTTGTATTACGTTTAACTGAGGCCAGATGGATACCAAATTTTCTGGAAAGTTTTACGTTGAAAGCTTATTAAAACCGAGATGTTAGAAGTCCGAACAAAAATTCGGTTATTCATTTCATAAAAATTCATTTAGTAAGATACAACTTCAGAAACTTTGTAATCTGATTCCCTAACTTATTTCACAGGAAATGAAAGCAAAAATGATGAATAGGGCTACATAAAATTAAAAAGCTTCTAGAACAAGAAACAACGGAATGAAGAAACAATATACAGAATGGTATAAAACATTTGCAAACTGTATGTTTGGTTAGGGGTTAATAGCCAATATGTACAAGGAACTCAAAGAACGCAACAGCAAGTAAACACATCACCTAATTTAAAAAAAAAAACGCACAAAGAATTCCAATAGACATCTTTCAAAGGAAGACACACAAATGTCCAAAAGGCATGAAGAAAATGTTCAACATCACTAATCATCAGAGAAATGCACGTTAGGACAACAATAACTCTGGCTAGGAGACCATAAACATATCACTGTGTGTCTGTTGGAAAGGCTACTGGGGGGGGGGGAGACCAGTAAGGGCTGAGGACAGGACTCAGCTAGTAGAGTGCACGAGACCCTGGGCTCAATCCCCTACACGGCATAAACCAGGTATGGTGGCACACACCTTAGCCCCAGCACTTGGGAGGATCAGGAGTTCAAGACTGGGCTACGTGACACCTTATCTCAACACCCTGCCCTCCCCCCAACGACCAAAGAAGGTGTTGGTTAGGATGTGGAGAAAAGGCAACCTTTGCTCTTTGTTGGTGAGACTATGGAGTAGTACAGCCATGATGGAAATTGGCAGACACTCCTCGAAAAGCTGCTGGCCGGTCCTCCTGTTGCATATGTATTTGGGGGGGGGGGATTAGCGTGTCAGAGAGATGGCTTATATTTACTGCGGCAGGAGTATGGCACATACACACCATGGGTACCTTAGAAAGTATCTTCATGACCCAAATGGCACGTGTGTAAGGTGGTGCATATGGTAACTGGCTCGGTTTGGCCGTTCTATAATGGCCGGTCATGTATTACAAAACATCATACTGGGACCAAGGAAGGGTTCAGGGGTAGAGAGCTTGCTAGCGTTTGGGAAGCCCTGGGGATCTCTTGACCTGAGTTCGGTCCCTGGGACCAACATCAAGGAAGCCAAGAATGGATTCCCATAAACTTTCCTCTGATCTCAATACGCAGGCTGTGGCACCCACCGACATACACACGGCTGAACACATACACAAACACAGTAAATAAATAAATGCACGAGGCGGTGGTGGCGCACGCCTTTAATCCCAGCACTTGGGAGGCAGAGGCAGGTGGATCTCTGTGAGTTCGAGGCCAGCCTGGTCTCCAAAGCGAGTTCCAGGAAAGGCGCAAAGCTACACAAAGAAACCCTGTCTTGAAAAACAAAAACAAAAAATAAAAATAAATAAATAATAAATAAATAAATAAATAAATGCAATAGTTTAAAAAATGAAACACTTAAACTCAAAGTTATACAGTCCTTTCACATCTGTTCTGTCCTCATACCCTCCAAAGTCTTCCTTCCTGCCCTGAATACATACCAATTACAACCATATTTTGCACAAGGAGCCCAAACTGAGATACAATTATTACCATTTTTTAGCATTTACCATTGATTACATGCCTCTGCTCTAAGGAAAAAAAGAAGAAGAAAACTTCAACTGCTTGAGAGGTAGTGTTGTTATAAAGCAACAAAGTTGGGCCCTGGAGCAGACTCCGTAGGTAAAGGCACCTGCCTGCCACCAAGGTTGATGACCTGAGTTTGGTCCCTGGGAACCCACCTGGTAGAAGGAGAGAACTGATTCCCTCAACTTTGTCCTCTGATCTCCATGTGCATGCTGTGGTAGCGCACCCTCCCCCACCCAAAAACACATGCCACACAACACAACACAACACAACAAAACACAGCAAAACAAAACAAAGCACCAAGTGTAGCAATTTTGTCTCGCTTCCCTCTGAATATGGAACAATAGGAGATCTGCTTGAATTAAATGAATCTGGCCACAACACATCGCTAAACAATGCAGCACTGTCTTCCTGGGACAGGGTCAAAGACATCAGTGAGCAATGCAGCTATGCAGACTCCAGAAATAACTAACTAAAAGGGAAAACACAATGAACAGAGGAGAATGTTATGATTTAAAACTATAGGAACTGGGGCTAGGGAGATGGCTCAGCGGTCAAGAGCACTTGCTGCTCTTCCGGAGGACCTGGGTTCAGTTCCCAGCACCAACACCAGGAAGCTCACAATTACATCTGACTCTAGCTCTGAGGCATCTGACACAGTCTTCTGGCTTCCATGGGCACTCACATGAACACACACACACACACACACACACACACACACACACACACACACACACACATATTAGATCAATCTTTTAAAAAATAATAGGAGTGAGGGGCAGTGGTTGCATATGCCTTTAATCCCAGCAGCGGGGAGGCAGAAGCAGGTGGATATTTGTGAGTCTGAGGCCCAGCCTGGTCTACAGAGCAAGTTCTAGGACAGGCTGGGTGACATAAAGAGAAACTCTGTCTCGAAAAACCAAAATAATAACAATAACGATAATTAATAATGATGATGATGATGATGATGATGATGATGAATTTTGTTTGCAGGAGCCATAACCTCCCAGAGTCAGAGCACAGGGACAGTAAGACTCAGAGAGTTTGGACACACACATGTTCTTTATTATACCCGAAGTTGGAGCTGTGTTCAGAACTCATGAGTTCTGACTCCAGGCCAGTATTATTTTGATATGCTTACTTAATTTAAATTTGTAATAAGTTGTCATAAATGTCAAAGTCTCTGGTTTACTTTAGTATGCTGAGAGGCATGAATATGGTTTTCTGGGCAGAGTATGTTGGGCGGATTCATCATCCACTTGTTTTTGCCACAACACTCGTTTTTTTTTGGTACCTTATGTCCAGACTCAAGCAGAGCATCTTTCATTGACTGCGTTACAGAAATATCTTCACGGGGCAGTGGCAGTCACCAAGGACCAACAACTAGCGAGCCAGGGAAACATCTAGTCCACTCTTTTTCTGATTTCTGAGCACTGTGCTAAACGCAAAGAATTGCAAAGTGATTGTTTTTGAAGTGTGGTTGTTTAAATAGCACCAAACGTTTTTTTAAAACTCAGTTTATATACAGTTCTCCAAACAGTAATAGCACTTATAGATATACTTACATTCTTTTCGAATATGATATTTTTCAAACATTCTAATGGCATGCCTCACTTCAGCATTACAGTTTATATTAGCCATCTTCATATACATCCTTTTACAGTATACTCGGTTTACATTTGTTCACACATGTTTCACTGAGACGTCGTTCATCACTCTACTCTGACTGAAAAACACATTTTTCATATTCCCTTTTTTTCCCTGTCATTTCTTGCTTCTCTTAGTCCCCAAAGAATATTTATATGTGATTAATGACCAATAAATATTAAGTAACTAGGTTAAAAAAAATAAACCTTTAAATGTGTAAAGGGCCATTACAGGGTGAAGACTAGCAATACTAATTATTCTCTCTGGGTTATGGACAAGGAGTGAGGACTGGCGTGGGAGAGCCGACCATAGCAGCTGAGTTACTGAAACATCTCTATAACAGTATATGATAGAAGAAAGCAAATATACATTTACACACACACACACAACACACACACACACACACACACACACACACACACACAGATGGTCTTGCTGGATGAGCTGGTACTTGCTATACAGCCCAGGTTACTTTCAAACTCACAGAAATCCTCCTGCCTTAGCCTTCCAAGTACTGGGATTATAGGAGAACTCAAGAAAGAAATGAAAAAAAAAAATTTCTCCCCCCTCCCGTGTGTGTGTGTGTGTGTGTGTGTGTGTGTGTGTGTGTTGTGTGTGTGTGTGTGTGTGTTGTGTGTGTGTGTGTGTGTGTGTGTGTGTGTGTGTGAGAGAGAGAGAGAGAGAGAGAGAGAGAGAGAGAGAGAGAGAGAGAGAGAGGACAACCCATTGAAGTTAGCTCTCGCTCTCCACCATGTGGGTTCCAGGGATTGAACTCAGGCAATCAGGCTTGGCAGCAGGGACTTTTACCCACAGAACCATCTCTCCAGCTCTACACATATTTACCAAGCACAGTACTGCTTTTGCTATATATTTCATCTTACATAATTCCCATAACAAGGTTATAAAATCTTATGATTAACCAACCTCATTTTATAGATGAGAAAACTAATGTTTAAGAGGTGCAATGTGAACTATCCATATTCATAACTAGTGAGTGGCAAGGAGGCAAGGAAAGCCATGCATTAACTACCCCCATCTCAGATGATGCCACAGGAGCCAATGATATGATCCAAAGTAGCATTTATCTTCCTATGAAAAAGTCTTTCGGCTGGGTGGTGGTGGTGCACACCTTTGATCCCAGCACTTCGGAGGCAGAGGCAGGAGGATTTCTGTGAGTTCAAGGACAGCCTGGACTACAGAGCAAATTTTGGGACAGCCAGGGCTACATAGAGAAACCCTGTCTTGAAAACCCAAAACAAAAAACGAGAGAGAGAGAGAGAGAGAGAGAGAGAGAGAGAGAGAGAGAGAGAGAGAAAGAAAAGAAAAAAGTCTTTTGGCTTGAAAAAGCTTTTTGTTTGTTTGTTGGTGAATGAATGTTTCCTATTTTGTCCCATGTTTCCCATAATATCCTCCAGGTGGCCAAAATCAAGTTTGATATTAGTGATTAATTTACATACAACGTCTTTGTGTCTCACAGTACATTTTTATCTTCATCAGAAGACAAGGAGCTGGATCAAGCATAGCAACTGATAAAAACCCCAGTGTAAAGCACTTTGAGGCACATACAATATGAATGAACCTTGAAAGCATTATGCTAAGTGAAATAAGCCAGGCCCAGAAAGACAAGCGTTACAGGACTCCAGTGATGTAAGGTATTTGTTATTTCACAAATTCATAGAGACAGAGAGTAGATGAGAGGTTCTCAGGGGCTGAGTTGGGCAGGCTCGATGGGACTGTGTTCATGGCTGCAAAGCTTTTGCTTGGGATGGTTCGAAGGTGCTGGAAATAACGGCAGAGGTGCTGGCCCAACATCGCCAATGGGTTGACTGTAGTGAACCATACACTTAACTGCTAAAATGGTAACATTTCCCATCTCATTTTATTTTCATTGTTCCATAGTGCTTATTGGGTGCTATGTGATTTTCTTTTAATTCCATTTATTTATTGTGTGTATTTGGAGTGGCACATGTGTGGAAATCAGAGGACAGTTGTGGGAGTTCTCTCCTTCCACGGTGTGGGTTGGAGGCGGAGCTCAGGTTCTCAGGCTTGGCAACAAATGCCCTTACTCAGGGAGGCGTCTTACAGTCCCATGTGATGTCTATCATCTATGCACTGTGTAATGGTAACATCAGGGTACATTTATCTGTCTTTTCAAAGATTGGTCATTTTGTTGTTGTTGTTTGTCTGCTTTTTTGTTTTTTCAAGACAGGGTTTCTCTATGTAGCCATGGCTGTCCTGGAACTTGCTCTGTAGACCAGGCTAGTCTTGAACTCAGAGATTTGCCTGCCTTTGCCTCCCAAGTGCTGGTATTAAAGGCGTGTGTCACCACTGCTTGGCTAACATTGGTCATTTCTTTGTGATTTAAAAAAAAAATTAATATCCTTTCTTGCTTTTTAAAAATATATACAGAACACCATAGCCGGGCGGTGGTGGCGCACACCTTTAATCCCAGCACTCGGGAGGCAGAGGCAGGCGGATCTCTGTGAGTTCGAGGCCAGCCTGGTCTACAGAGCGAGATCCAGGAAAGGCGGAAAGCTACACAGAGAAACCCTGTCTCGAAAAACCAACCAAACAAACAAACAAAAAAACAACAAACCATGATTACCTACAATCTATTAGGCAAAAGATGGCCAGACACCTAATTTATCAAATCTGTTTGTAACTTGGTACACATTGACCCACCTGGCAAATTTTAGATATACTTTACCAAAATAGGAAAAATCATCAAAAAAAAAAAAAAAGTGAATAGACAGTCTGGTTATATCACTGACTATAAAGCAAAGAAAATCAAAGCATACCTCAGTGCAAATGAAGTCAAGAAAATAATAAGGAAAGAAATGGAAATACGCACACATACATTCATACACATACATACACACATTCATATAGACATGCACACACGCACACATTTATACACACATGCACACACACATATGCACACGCTATACACACCCACGCTCGCACATATATTCATACACATATGGGCACACACCAAGGTCTTCAGCATCTTAGGCATCACGCTCGTGTGCAGGAGCATGACAGATTCTATACTTCCCTTACACTAACATGAGAGGTGTGTTATCTGAGGTTCTAGGAAAATTTGGTGTCCTGCCTCCTGTTGGTGAAGACGCAGGCCAAAGCTCCAGTAGAATTAAAGTGAAGGCTGGCAGGTCAGGGACCGCCAAGTGGGATTGGCAGAAACTGCTGCTGGGGACGGAGAAAATATTACTAACGTAGGAAGCAGGAGACCCAGATGTCTTCAGTGGGGTGGTATGGGACAGCAGGGATTCCTAAACACTTGTCCCAAAGGAACTCGTTCTGCGGCAAACATCATAGCTTCTACAGCCTTAAATACGGCTCAGTGTCTTGAGCAGATGGATTACTTCGTTGTCTCCAAGGCAAATTTGGCTCCGAGTCTGCAACGGAGGTATTTCTTTTTTCTTATAAGGAATTTTTGTCTTACCTCCCAGATCTTCTCCAGCTGTTCCAGGATGTTAGAAACCCCGGGAAACAAAGGTTGACCCTGGAACATTTCAATAAAGATGCAGCCTGCACCCCTAGCAAAGGAAAGGAGAGACTTATAAGGAGGCCATGCATAGAAAACCTAACATCTACAATGTCTCCTTCTGAGAAATACTTGGGAGACTGTTAAATAGGGCCATGTGTTATTAAAAGCCCAGAGCCAGGAAAGCTCCTCAACGAGGACAGTAAAAGCAAAGAGATTTTGTAAAGTGAAGTAAGGCCAGCCAGGAGTAGGCTCCATTATAAACCTTAAGTCACCCAAGCTCAACAGCTCCCCATTCTGTGGGGGTGGGAAAGCCCCGAATCCCTAATTTAAATCATTAAACCTAAGATGCTATCAGCTTAAGATGCTAGTGTATGTGCCATTAAGAGAGAAAAGCACATTGCCTCATAACTACATACAATTACTCTGTCAATTAAAACCTTAAAAATGCTTTTGAAGACTGCAACCCTTTCTCTGCTGTCTGTCTGTCTGTCTGTCTGTCTGTCTGTCTCTCTCTCTCTCTCTCTCTCTCTCACACACACACACACACACACACACACACACACACACACACTCACACTTCACAAATCCTATTATGATGTGATCAAACTTTATTTTCTCCTTACTGGAAGGGTAGTGATAAACTTAATTAAGCGTAGATTACTTTCTAATATATCATACTCGTACATGCAAAAATATGGAACATTAAATGAAATAAATTGGTTTAGGGGTTCCTTAAAACTTCTGCACAGTCAGCATTTGACTCAGACTCGCTGATGTGCTAACCCACGGCCTCATCCTCTATATCGAGAGGCTGGTGAGGCGACAAGTCTTAAAATAAGACATAAAGGAACCAAGAGTCGTGGGTGCTGGCTCCCAAATGGTTCTGCAATTATACTGCCAGCTTACTCTTGACTCCTGCTGGAAGAATGTTGCTAAACACGTCTGATTCACTCTCCCAACCATTTGGCTCCCAGGGGTTTAAAATGAAGCATACCTTCTTGTTTGTGGGTTTTCTTTCACTCACCAACATTCGTTCGTGAGTTTTTATTTTTCCAAGAGTTTTTTTATGTGCACGTGTGAGTACCTGCATGTATGTATGTATACCAAATGTGTGCCTGGTGCCCACGGAGGCAAGAAAGAGCACATCAGATTCCCTGGGATTGGAGCTGCACACGATTGTGAGCTGCCATGTGGGTGCTGGGACTGGAACCCAGGTCCTCTGAAAGAGCACTGTGCACTCTTAAACTCTGAGTCACTTCCCCAGCCCCTCCCTAATTTATTCTGCCATTCTTGTGACATGGAAAAAATTTTAAGTAAAACTTTTTTTTTTTTTTTTTTGGTTTTTCGAGACAGGGTTTCTCTATGTAGCTTTGCGCCTTTCCTGGAACTCATTTGGTAGCCCAGGCTGGCCTCGAACTCACAGAAATTCACCTGCCTCTTGCCTCCCGAGTGCTGGGATTAAAGGCGTGCGCCACCACCACCCGGCCAAGTAAAACATTTTTATTGTAAATGATTACAGTATTAAATATGTATTATAAGTTTCATTTGAATTACAGTCTTAAGTACTATTCATACATAAGTTTTTACTTTCTGTAGACTCTAGACATATTCTGTTTAATTTGCTTTTTGATGATTGTGTTGGGGAAAGCCTATTTCTTGACAATTAAATGTAAAACTCATTCTTATCTGTGTTTTGTCTGAGGCTAGGGGATGTGTTAAGAGAAAGATTGCAATGTAACTCTGTCTGATGTTACATAGACAAAGGCTATTTCTATGGCCTGTTTGTTTGTTTGTTTGTTTTGTTTGGGTTTAATACACTGGATCATTCTTAGGATTTTGTTGTTGTTTTTTTTAATTTTTTTTTTTTTTTTCAAGACAGGATTTCTCTGTGTAGTTTTGGTGCCTGTCCTGGATCTCACTCTGTAAACCAGGCTAGCCTCGAACTCACAGAGAGTCACCTGGCTCTGCCTCCTGAGTGCTGGGATTAAAGGCATGCTCCATCACCACCCAGCCTCATTCTTAGGATTTTGTGGGAAAGTAGATTAGACTGAGCTTGGCAAGCATTTTCTCTCTCCATCCCTCCAGAAACAGGCTATTTTTATTCTGATTAAAAAAAAATCAGAATAATTTTTCTAAATCAGTTTTTGCTGTACAGAGATACTTTAGATGGGATCAAACATTTTGATCAGACAGATGAAGCCTGTGTGTCTGGTAAAGAACACCTTGGAGTGGGTTTTTAGAATTATTGTTATTTTAATGTTTTCCATTAGTTTATGCATAAATATTCATGTTCTTGAGGGGGTGTGGTGACCCATACCTGTAATTCCAGCACTATGGAGGCTGAGACTGGGGAACTGCAAGTTCAAGCCCAGCTAGGGCTATATAACAAGTTCCATGCCAGCCTAGGGTACAGAGTGAGACCCTGTCTCAAATTAAAGAAAGAAAGATTTATTCATTTTTTTTTTTTTTTGTCTTTTGAGAACAGCTACAGAGGCGAATGGACAAAATAGGAGCCTGTGGTTTGGTTAAAACCTTTGCTACAACTGGTCAAGTAGGGGATGGGGCAAGAGAGACACAGTTGGCTAGTGTCACCAAATGGCCTCCACATGCTCACCCTTAACGGGACACCTTTGTCAAACTCCCCTGTAGGACGAATTGCTAAATGGTCTTATTAATAAAAAACCTGGAGCCAAATATTAGGGTTAAAACCGAGTGATCAGAAAAGCAGAAAGAAGCCAGCCACGTTCTTACTGCTTGGAGATCCTCCGCCAAAGAGACCTACTTCCTGTCTACCCACGCCTATATGCCTTGCTGTTCTGCCATCTCATTTCCTCTTTCTGCCCAGCTACATCACTTCCTCTTCCTGCCCAGCTCTGTCACTTCCTGTCTGTCTGTACAGACCTCTAGACCTTTATAGTTAACCAGTGTTGGAATTTAAGGCGTGTGCCACCACACCTGGCTCTGTTCCCAATGTGGGCTTGAACTCACAGAGATTCATATGGATCTCTGCCTCCCAAGTGATAGGATTAAAGGCGTGTGCCACCATTGCCTGACTTCTATGTTTAATATAGTGACTGGCTTTTTTCCTCCGATCCTCAGATAAACTTTATTGGGGGACACAGATAAAATATCACCACACTCCCCCTTGTTCTAAGGCTCAGGAGACATGGAAGAAAAGGAAGCTGGAAGAATGTAAGAGCTGGAGGATGAGGAAGAGTGTTGGACGGTACTGTCTCCTGGACATGAAATAGCGGCTGCACTCATACACTCCAGCAGCTGTGGCTACCTGCGCAGGACCTGCAGGCTGTATGAGAGGATGAGGAGGCGGGAGGGACATGCTGGGTCTTCTGGGGGCAGTGGGAGTTGAAAAAAAAAAACACAAACAAAACCACTCTCGGCCCTTCCCCCAGAATCTACCACCACCACAACAAAATAACCCAATATAGTTATTTCTAAGTGTAAGCCTACAGTTCACCTATTTTTCCCCCCATCCTCCCAAGAAGGCTTTCATTGCCTAAAGCAAGTGTCTCTCTTTCATGGCATTTTCTTCTTACGGTGCTAGGAGCCAAACCTGGGTTTCTGGAATGTTAAGTAAGCACTCTTGCCGATGAACCGCCCCCTTGACCCGAATTGTGTTTTATACTTGTGACTGTGGGAAGCCAAGAAAGAAGCCTTTTTGTTAGACCATTTCAAGGTATCCATTATCTTCTGCACAAGGATGACATGCAAAGTTATATAAAGTATACTTTGGCAAGACCGAGAACATTCGGGTCATCATGTAAGCTCTAGGATATAGCACAAGGTCTTTGTGTTAAAGAGATAAAATGCTAGTGTTTAGTTAAAATTCTCCATTTGCAAATCAAGGTAGCTTGAAACCTTTATCTAACAAATCTAGAGTCTAAGGACACTCATATACATATTATATATAGGATATATACAATTATATATATGTATACAATCCGTATATACACATGTATATGTTTCTATACATGCTTTTTAAACATAAGACAAACAAAATTCTGAATCAATTATGTTTCAGTACCTGGAAGATCCGTTAAGTACCATCAGTACTTGAATCAATATTTAATTATTTTATCTGACGTTTTCTTTAAAACAAAGAGGGCTAGTGCTCAAACACTTGCACAGGTATTGTACTCAATGAGTTTGAGCTACACGTTCTAAAGCTGAAAGGCATTTCTGGGTATAACAGTTGTTCGGAAAACAATCCAGTCCGTTGTCCTGCTATGAAATTGGTTTTTCAGAACCGTGCTAGCTTTTATTTCTTATTCAACTTAAGAACACAGGTCTTAAATGCTGGGCAGTAGCAGCACAGGCCTTTTACCCGAGCACTTGGGAGGCAGAGTCAGGCAGATCTCGGAGTTCGAGGCCAGCCTGGTTTACATAGTGAGTTCCAGGACAGCTAGGGCCACACAGAGAAACTGTCTCAAAAAGTCAGAAAACCAACATAACAAAAACAACAAAAAGCCAACCGACCAACCAAACAAACAAACAAACAAACAAACAAACAAACAAACAAAAATCCAAGAAATCAAACCAAACACCCAGGGTCTGGAAACTCTCAATTGTTCGGCCTACCCCAGACTTTCTCCACATCCAGGTCCAGCTAAGGAGCCGGCTCCCACCTCCTTTCATTCTTTTGGCTCTGTTTTCAGTCACTGTTCTGTAACTCTTCGTACCCCTCTTTTCCTATCCGGTGGGGTTTTCAGTCTATGGAGCTTCTGGGGGCCGGAGTGGGGTGAGAAGAGGCAGCCCCTGGGATGGAGGTGTCTCAGTGGGAGACAAGGAGCCGGTGGCCTGGAACAGCGCATCCTTCCAGAAGGGCGAGTTGGCAGGGGCCAGTTGACGGCTCCCGATGTTGGTCTTTAGTCAAGTTAGAGCAAACAGCTTCAGCGTTTCCTGCATTTTCTGGCTCTCTCCCGAATTTTTTTTTCTCTCTATTCTAAGCATGAACGAATTCTTCCAGAAGAGAGAAAGAGATTCCTCAAATTCCTTAGGCGATCCCCTGGGGGCCAAAACCATCTCGGGAGT